GGCCATTCAACTCCGATCAGCCCCAGATAGGTTCGCAACCCTTGGACGACCTTTGCCTGAAAAGCCCAGCCAGATCAGACGTCAGACGCGCCTCCACGCGCCGCTTCTTTCCCTGCGCGTGAATCCCACGCGCCGCCAGCTTCACCGGCGCGTGACAGCGCGTGACGGTTGCTATTGGCTGCGGACCGGTGCAGTCTTGATCGACTCTCCAAGCTCGTTCTGGATCTGTGCTCACCTCTTTGATCGGACCTCGTTTGGTAATTTTTCGTGATTTTTTGGCTTCTTGGTACTATTCCTTGGGTTGTTTTGCAGTATGGCCGCTTCCGACGGTGATTCAACTCTAAACTTATCTGAAAAAAATTCTACCTCATCTGTGGTGACCCCTCTTGGTCACAATGATCTTCCAAGTCTACATCAAAGTTATCGATTTGACGGATCAAATTATTTGTCATGGTCTCAGTTCATTCGTACTACCATCAAGAGTCGCAATAAGATTGCTCATCTTGATGGCCCTGCTCCTGCTGCCACGGATCCCGATTTTGCTGTTTGGGATAACGAGGATTCTCTTATCATGACTTGGTTGTGGAATTCGATGACTCCTGAAGTGGGTCGTAATTGTATGTTCTTGTCTTCTGCTATGGAGATTTGGGAAACTGTCCGCTCCACTTATTCCTTGAAACAGGATATGGTTGCGCGCTATGAATTGCGCAATAAAATATTCACTACAAAACAAGATTCTTTATCCGTGACTGAGTACTATGGCACCTTGAAGGAGTTATGGACTGAACTTGATCAATTTCAGAGTTTGAAGATGAAATGTACTGCAGATGCTACTGCTTTAGCCAAGGAGGTGGAAAATGAGCGTATTTTTGATTTTCTTGCTGGTTTGAATTCCGAGTATGATCCTATTCGGGTTCAGATACTTGGCAAAGAAACTTTTCCATCCCTTTCTGCTGTTTTCAATACTGTTCGGGGAGAGGAGAATCGTCGGGGTGTTATGATGAACCCTGATAAATCTGTCATGTTATCATCAAAAGATGGTGCTGCTTCTAAACCCACTGATGGGTCTGCTATGATTTCAACAAAAAAGGATGGTTCTACTTACAGGAGTTCCTTTCCAAAATATTCTGATGGAGCATCTTCTAGACCTAAGAAAGATGATCGCTGGTGTTCTTATTGTAAAAGAACAGGTCATATCAAGGATCTATGCTATCGCCTCCATGGAAAACAAACTGTCTTAGAAAAGATGGCAAGGATGCGTGGTCAAGCGCATTTTACTTCTTCTGATATAGCTCCTACACCTAATGAGACCCAACCTGCATTTCGTCCAGATGAGTTGGAACGACTTCGAACCATACTTGATTCTCTGAGTGAGCCATCTGGTACTAGTGATTTGGCTATGACTGGTATGAGCTCCAAAATTTCTTCTTTTCTTACTTCATGTATTGATTTTAAACATTCTTGGGTTGTTGATTCTGGTGCTACTGATCATATGGCTTGTTGTGCTGACCCCTTTGTTTCTTATAACCCTACCATTGGCACTCATACGATAGCCGTAGCTGATGGCTCCCATACATCAGTTGCGGGTTCTGGTAACATAAAATTACAGCCTTCCTTACATCTCAAAGATGCTCTTCATGTCCCTAAACTTTCTACTAATCTTCTTTCTATTCATAAAATCACAAAAGATTTAAATTGCACTGTAACCTTCTTTCCTACTAACTGTGTTTTTCAGGATCTCGCCACAGGGAAGACGATTGGGGGTGCTAAAGAGCAAGGTGGGCTGTATTATCTGGTGTCACAATCTCCTGCAACTCATGTTAAGGATCACATCTTACTGTCACATGGCCAGTCAACTGCTGATTCTCTGATTTGGCTTCATCATAAGCGCTTGGGACATCCTCCATTTAGTGTACTCAAGTCTTTATTTCCGTCTTTGTTTTTGTCTAAGTCTGTTGAGTCTTATCATTGTGATGTTTGTGAGTTTGCTAAGCATCATCGTGTGTCTTTCCCTTCTAGTATTACTAAAAGTGTTGAACCTTTTGATCTTATTCATTCTGATGTTTGGGGTCCTTCTAAGGTCCCTCATTCTTCTGGAAATAAATGGTTTGTTTCTTTTATTGATGATTGCACTCGTGTAACTTGGGTTTACTTAATGCATGAAAAGTCTGAGGTACCAAAACTGTTCTTTCAATTTTATAAAATGATTGAGACTCAATTTTGTAAAAAAATCAAAAGACTAAGGACAGATAATGGTACTGAATATGTCAATCACTCTTTTTCACAATTTATACAAAATCAAGGTATGATTCATGAACTTACATGTGTAGACACCCCTCAACAAAAATGGGGTTGCTGAAAGGAAAAATCGTCACCTTCTTGAAGTTGCTCGTGCCCTATTGTTTCAAACACATGTACCCAAAAGCTATTGGGGAGATGCCATTCTTACTGCAGCATTCTTGATCAATCGTCTACCCACTCGGGTTCTCGATCATGTAAGTCCTATTCACTCCATGACTTCTTTTTTTCCTTCTATTCCAACTTTGCAAAGTCTTCCTCCTCGAGTGTTTGGGTGTGTTGTCTTTGTTCATATTCATAAACAGCATCGCAGTAAGTTGGATCCTAGGGCTCTTAAATGTGTCTTCCTTGGATATGCTCCTGATAAGAAGGGCTACAAGTGTTATCACCCTGGAAGTCGGAAATTTTTTGTTTCTATGGATGTTACATTTCAGGAATCTGAGTCCTTTTTCCAAGGTCCTCATCTTCAGGGGGAGAATGATTCACCAGAAGACTCATCACCTTCCTTCTTTGAAACTTCAGTGTCTACTCCTTCACCTGTGTCAGTGTCACTTCCTCTTGTTCCTGTTCCTAATGTGTTTATGTCTGATCCTCCTGTGACTGATCCTCCTATGACTAATACATCAAGTACACAAGAGATACGGAAGATTGTAACACCTGAATTGGTATATCAAAGAAGGAAACAGCCCACATTGCCTCAACAGCAACCTCAATCGTCTGAACCACTGGTAAGTCCTGAATCTCATATTTCTGATCATGATACTTCTGATGACTTACCCATTACTACTGCTTCTGATGATTTACCCATTGCTTTAAGAAAAGGAAAAAGATCTTGTTCCAAGAAATCTTGTTCTTCCTGTCCCTCTTGTACTCAATACCCTATCTCCCATTTTGTTTCCTCTGCTAATCTTTCTGTGCAGCACAAAAGCTTTGTTTCAGCACTAGATTCTACTTCAATCCCAAAATCAGTACATGAAGCTTTGAAAGATGGGAATTGGGCTCAAGCCATGCAAGAGGAGATGAATGCGTTGGAGAAAAATAAAACATGGGAAGTTATTGATAGACCCAACGGAAAGAAAGCAGTAAGGTGCAGATGGGTTTATGCCCTAAAATATAATTCTAATGGCACTCTTGAGAGATACAAGGCTCGAGTAGTCGCCAAAGGTTACACTCAAACCTATGGCATTGATTATGAAGGAACCTTTGCTCCAGTTGCAAAGATGAATACAGTGAGAATCTTGTTGTCCCTTGCTGCCCATTACAATTGGGATATAAATCAATTTGATGTGAAAAATGCTTTCCTCAATGGTGAGTTAGAAGAAGAAGTCTACATGGAAATCCCGCCTGGTTTTGATTCTGTGAAGGGGGAAAATAAAGTTTGTCGATTAAAAAAGGCCTTGTATGGATTGAAGCAGTCACCTCGTGCTTGGTTTGGGAGGTTTACTAAGGTTATGATGACCTTAGGATATAGACAGAGTCAAGGAGATCACACTCTTTTCTTCAAGCACTCCCAAAACGGGAAGCTTACTGTGCTCCTTGTATATGTTGATGATATTATTATCACAAGTGATGATTTTGTGGAAAGACAGATTCTGCAGACACGGCTTGCCTCTGAGTTCGAAGTCAAAAACCTTGGGAAACTGAGATATTTCCTAGGGATAGAAGTAGCTCATTCAAGCAAAGGAATTTTTATCAGCCAAAGGAAATATGTTCTTGATCTTCTCAAAGAAGCAGGAAAGCTCGGGTGCAAACCCTCTAATACTCCTATTGAGCAGAATCACAAGATGGGCTATGAAGAAGAGAGTCCTCCAGTTGATAAAGGACAATATCAACGGCTAGTTGGGAAATTGATATATCTGGCCCATACTAGACCAGACCTAGCTTATGTTGTTAATGTTGTCAGTCAGTTTATGCACGATCCAAAGGAAAAACACATGCAGGCAGTAGAGAGAATTCTTCAGTATCTTAAAGGTACTCCTGGTAAAGGATTGTTATTCCGACGTGATGGCAATCTATCTTTAGAAGTCTACACAGATGCTGATTATGCTGGATCCATGACTGACTGTCGTTCTACCACTGGTTATTGCATGTTTCTTTGCGGTAACTTAGTGACATGGAGAAGTAAGAAACAAGATGTGGTTGCCAGATCAAGTGCAGAAGCTGAATTTCGAGCTATGGCTCAAGGCATTTGTGAGTTACTGTGGCTGAAAATTGTACTTGATGATCTCAAAATAAAATGTGAGGGACCTATGAAGCTGTTATGTGATAATAAGTCCGCTATTTGTATAGCTCATAATCCAGTTCAACATGATCGGACTAAACATATTGAGGTCGACCGCCATTTCATCAAAGAGAAACTTGATAGCGGGTTGATTACCACTCCATACATTCCCACTGGGCGTCAATTAGCTGATCTATTAACAAAGGGGCTTCCTTCAGACAGATTTCAAGAACTTACTAGCAAGCTGGGAATAATAAATATCTATTCCTCAGCTTGAGGGGGAGTGTTGTAAATAATATTGATTTAGTTTTTATTTAGTCGTTTATTGTTGTATTGGGCCAAGCCCTTTGCTGTATTGGGCCAAGGCCTTTAGGTTAAAAGTAGGTCAAATATTCTCTATAAATAGAGAACCCCTTGTACACATTATTTACAATTCTCAAATATATCAGAATACCCTTTTTCAAGTATACTGTGTTAGTACCTTAATATATCATCTTCCAGTTTCCTTGCTCTCCCAACAAGATCCATAACTTTCAAAATGTAATGATCAATTTTATCAGAAGATTTACGCTTCTCATGCAGTCTACAAAACATATCAATAAAAAATGTCAATTATTTCATAAAGCAGGAATATATATATATATACATATATATATATATATATATATATCAAAACCATTATATGAGCCATTCAAAAAAAAAAAAAAAACAATTCTTACGGGTTTTTCGTGCCAGGAGGCAAAAGTGCATCACATCCAGACCATGAGATTGAACTGCATGCATCTCCTAATGCTAATCTGGCAACAGAGTATATCACACTCTCATGATGCAACTTCACATCTGCTACAAAAACCGCTGCTGGAGGAGGGCTAAGTAGTTGCTGCATAAGTTGTGTAGTCAAGACAAGTCTTCTTTTTGACTTCACCATTGCTGGCAAATCTTCAACTGCCTCTGCATCTTCTTCAACCTATAATTATAGATAGAGTGAAGTGAAGTGGTCAATTATAGAATTTATAGATAAATGAGTGTAGATTGATTAGTTATAAACAAACCTTTTCAATCAATCTATTTGCAGTTCGGGCCCAGTCTAATTCTGCCACACTGCAAAATAATAAGAATTTTAAGTTATCTTGGGAGAAAAAATATTTAATAAATTGATAAACTTAAAACAAGATTAAAATAGAGTCACATTGATACAGCAGAAACATAAGGTATTTTTCTTTCAAAACAATTGAAACAACATAATATCAACTGGTGAAAGACAGGATCTTTTCCTACAACAATAGAAAGAAGGAAAAAAAGTGCATTAAATCAGTTTTGTCAACCACCTGATATTTCGGAGCCTTTCAGAACCCTGTGTCAGTTCTTTATGCCATGGCAGAAGTTCAGATGTGGCACTTTTACGCTTCTTTGGTCTCATAATAAGCAAATCAGGTTCAACTGCAGGAGTCGATAACTGAGAATGTACATGCTCACTTGCAACTGAAGCAGGCATTGGACTTTGCCTAGCGTTGCCAAGTTGATCATCACTGAGACTACTAACTTGCTCTATTGAATTATGAAAATGCAAACTATTTGATTGGTTCTGTACCATAGAAGGATGGTCCATAATCTTAGAAGCAGTCATCTTCCTTGCATCATACATTGGCAATATCTTACCATTTTTAAAGGTTCCATATTGCTCAAACCATGACGGTGCCATCTGTGGATTTACCAGAGAATGATCACTTCCTTCAGAAGTTGCTTTACTACTATCAGAGACATTGAGAGCATTTTTCTGACAATATCCAACCACCTCCTGAGAAGACGTGTTTGTGTCCTGTCCATCACCTGTCTTTGTTGAAAAATGTATCATATTAGGATCTGATGATGGCGTGGGACAATTATTACCAGACACATCCTTGACCACATTATCATATCCATATGACAACTGTAGCCCACGGTTGGAATCTACCTGCTGTTTGTCCACGACATTATCTGAAACTTTCAATCTTTTGACATCCTGATTACCAGGATCAATAACCACATTTCTCATGGATTGAACTTGATCCAGCAAGGAGAAATTCTGATTCAAAACATTGTTTGGTCTTAAAGACCGGCCAAAAGCTTCAATATCTCTAGAGGTAGCAATTGGGCTAGGTTGAGGTGCATCAGATGTACATTTCGCAACAGGTTCCTTTACATGTGATGCACCTGCAGCCTTTTCAACAGCACTCTCAGGCAATTTCTGCTGCCCAGACCTTTCTTGAAGTAAATTTCCCACAGAACTATTGGAGTAAACAGAAAAAGGGCCAATTCCAGAAAGGTCATTACCATCTTTTTCTGAACCCTCATCACCTGGCTTCTGTACACCAGTTGTCATTTTACAATCACTTATTTGTTGGGGCTGCAGCGGAATGTTTGAAGTATTAGGATGTTCCTTGCTAGAAACACTGGTCCATACATTGTGTAAAACTTTTGAAGGGGCACCATGCAGTGATGCACTAAATGTGACAGAAGGTTGAGTGCCAGCCTCTACTGCCAAAATTTGGATGGCAGGATCTCCCACTCGAATTTGGTCTATACCACTCAGCTGGGACACATCCTGCGCAGATGCCAATTCAGACTGACTAGTTTGAGCTCTTTCACAATATTCATTTATCTGATTCATGGAAGCAGTGCAATCAACAAAAGTTGCATTAGCAGATTGAGTATTTGTTACTTGACCACCAAGATTAGCAATATTTTGATTTTGAGTAAGGATCCTGGAGAAAGGTAACCCAGGTGTAAAAGCACGTGGAGTGTTTCCCAGCATACTGTACTGAGAGGCCTTATCAAAAAAATTTCCTGTGGTACTAGAAATATTATTCCTGAGCTCCCTATGAGATGATTCCTGAGAAGGAAAAGACTGATTGGTAGCCAACCATGTATGGCCCTTATCCCCTGTCTCAGACACATGTGGCATAGTAAGACCTGTCTCTGATGATCCACGAGAAGGTACCATAGGAAGCCATTGAGTAGGAGGAGCCAATTGTAAACCAAAGCCCTGAGACAAAGAACTTCGATTCCGCTGAGGATGTACAACAGATCCATCAGAAGATTCATTTTCAGACACCCTGGAAGATAAACGGCAGTTAGAAGGGCTTGTGTTTGTTGCAATGCCATACCCCTTTGACTGATCCACTTTATGAAGAAGCTCAAGAATATTTTGACTACAATAATTTTAACAAATTGAAGCAAACAGTTGAGCAAGGGTCATCACTTTAGTCAGGCAAGACTTTATAGCAGGAGAAGGAAAGAAAGAGAACATGTAAAACAGGTATCAGCGCCAATTAGACCAAAACTTTAGCACATGAAATAATAAAAAGCATGCAAGCCATAGTTACTTATCATTACAAACAGCAGATACTTCAACAATGATTAAGAAGGAAATACCATATGATTATCCTAAATTCCGAAGTTTAAAACTAAAGCAAGAGGAAATTCTCAAAATTCAACTACCTGGGTGAAGCAGTCTTCTGTAAGGCAAAATTACCAATACTTCTATCCAATGAGGTCAATGTCTTTGGCATATGACCAGGGAGTATGGTTTTCAAAGCATTATTGCCCAAGCTTTTTGAGCCACCCTGAAAATCAGGTGCATGCTTCAGTCACATTTTAAAGGATATAAACAACTGTTGAATCTCCAAGATGTAGAGAAAATTCTAAGTATTAACAGTGACACTTGCATAAAAGTATAAAACTGGGTAACCTACAAATTACCTTCTCCGTTTCACTATAATTCCCATCAGAATGGCCATACTTTGACTGACCAAGATAGCTTTGGTCTTGCTCTTTATGTCCTCCAAAGGGTTGATGGGCCATAGGCTGTGAATTTATGACGTGCTTGTTTCCATAAGATTCCAATTCAACACCCAAATCCCCCATTGGGTGATACTGAAATTTACGAGTTACAGGAGGTCTTCGATTTCCCTGACCAGATAACTTTGGGCTACACAAATCATTGCCATCAAAACCGGTATTTTCTCTCATACCACCAGCTCTAGGATGGGAAGGATTAGAGCCAAGACCATCTGCTGATTTTTCTTTTTTGTTAGAATTCTCCATATCATGTGCCTCACCTTCTACCTTTCCATTCTTTGAAGATTCCAAAACTAAAGGGTTCTTCTCCATATGATGCTTAGAATTTCCCAAAACTTCATTTCTTCTATAGCTCCCTTCCGACTCTGCATCTCTCCATACATCAACACTAGGGAGCTGCTTGCTACTCTGCCGGCTGATCCATGCAGTGCCTGAATTTGGTAATGCAGCAATACCATTCATACCAGAATCCTCCCCACAAACCTGCATATTACCTGCAGACTTTACATGTTCCAACTCACCAGATGAATTAGTGTCCGATTCTGGCTCCCACATAGCAGGAACATGACCCATTTCCTCATGCATAGCTTTCCCGTGATGGGCCTGCAATGAGTTTTCATTTTCATGGGTTTTGAAAGTAGAACTGCTATCAAATGGGGTCGATTTCATAACATCCCAACCATTAGATTTATTGAATGGACCACCACTACTATTACGTGACGATATGGTCTGTTGATGGGTCCAAGAACCTGATATAACCTTTTCATTTTTTTCTGAACCTGAAGAGTTAGCAGCATTTCCATATATATGACCCCCTTCCAAAAGTTGCTTTTGCTGAGGACTGCAATCTAACCATTTGCCTCTTTCTAAAAACTGTGAAATTGGTCTCTGAGAATCAGTCTGTAACCTGTCATGCTGTTCATGTGAACAATCAGGACCTGACTGATGAAATCTAGAAACACCAGAACAGTTTTCAGTGGTATTGGGCCTATTCACATCATCAGGCCGCAGAAAAGGTCTTGAATTTATATTGGAAGCTGATTGCAAGTTATTGTCAGTCCAAACTGATTGCTGTTTGCTACTATCAGTAGTTGAAGGCCGGTCATTTCCAGACGAACAACCCTTATTCCAGACACTTAGACCACTCCATTCCTCCTGTATGCCCATGTCACTATTAGAAGTTTCTGCTACAGCAGATTGCATTAGCGCACTCCAACTCCCACTCTGAATAGATGGAAATCCACTAAAACTATCTGTTGTACCATCCAGCATATTGAAACCACCTGTATTCCTGCTAAATCCATCCCAAAGGCTGTCATCTGAACCAAACAAAATCTTCTCTTCAGTTGGATCTAGGGTAGCCACATTCTGTGAAGGAGGAGCCTGCACTAGCATCTTGTCCTGCGACATCTCTGAAGATCCATCTAATTCTTGCCTCCCATGAAAATCTTGCATTGGTACAATTCTTTGCTCAGAATTCACTTGCTGCAAGTTCTCCATATTCAGTCCACTATTTACACCATGAGCAGTAGAACTAAACACACTTTTTCCTTGAATATCCTGTCTTGAAACCAAAGTCCCATCATTTGTGTTAGTTTGGTCTGAAAATGCATCATATTGATGAGCAGGAAATGAATTTCCACTGGCTGATATGTTTGCCAGTGCAGATTTGTCCCCATGAACATGAGAATACTGGTGTGGGATAGAAAACTGAGACACTGCAGGCTTATCTGCTTGAACATTCCCATACAGGTTAGGAGTACCTCTTGAGCCAGAAATTGGAACCCCATAAAGAGACTGATCTCCATGATTAGGAACCAAACCCATCAGGCGCAGTGCCTGTCCTTGGTCAGGAGATAACATAAGTCCATTAGAGGACCCATGCATAACTGGAGATGCACCACGTTGGAGCCAGTTTGCATTAGCTGGTACAACTTCAGGCTGCCATGCAAGGTTAGATGCCTCGTTGACGGGAATGCCATTGATAAGAGACCCAGAATGGGTTGTAACTGTCTGTTTTGAAATGGAGGAAGCAGGAGTTATAGAACTCTGTTGCTTTGCTTCTAGTTGATGAAATTGTTGCTGCCTCTGAAGCTCTTGCATCTGGTTAAGCATTGCTTGCTGCTGTAATAGATGCATTTCATTCATCCCTGACTGCTGTCTAGGCAATGGCTGAAGCATTTCACCATGGCGACCACTTATTTGCTGTTGACCTCCAAAAAAATCAAAATTGACAGGGGATTCAGCAACATCATTTCTGACCAAGTTTTTCTTATAGAGTTCAAGACCGCTCCCTTGTGACTCAAGCACAGGTATTCCTCTTGATAGGCTTTGCCAATCAGATTCCGTATCCACTCCCAAAATGTTAGCTTCATTCTGCCTTGTCTGGAAAACCTGCTGTCCCTGCATATAGCCATTCACAGCTGTTCGTTGGTTTGACAGCTGATTTCTGGTAGACTCAGGCCTAAAATTTGATTGCGACATGTTGAAACCATGTCGCAAATGTGGAGAGCTTGTGTGTCCCTGCTCAGAATCTTTGTGCCAGCAAAGGCAGTATTATTAGAAATTAATGGAGACAATCTCAAACCATATAACAAAGTTAAACTTCAACATCACATGTTAGTTATATAAATCCAAAATAAATGTATGGAACAGGATAATTACAAGTAAATAAATTATCATTGATAAAGTATTAAAAACTTAAAAAAAAAAAGTTTATAGAACTTTTACCTGATTGCTGTAGATTAAAATTCTTCACATTGGAAATAAAAGGCACACCAGCCGACCTCTGGTTACTAGCCCACAAATTGTTGCTTAGTCCTGGCCAGTTCCCATCAACCGCCTGTGAATGATACTGTCCCTGGGACAAGTTTTCTTGACCAAAAAAATTATGGACCCTGTCTCCTGCTTCGTTTCCAGGCATAGATAATCTAGCCCACAAATTTTCAGCAAACAACTATTTATAAGGCCTAATTGACCAAGGCAGAAAGTTTAAATTTTAAACAACCTATGTAGCAGGAAGACTGAAAAAAAAAGTTTCTCCAAATATGATGAGGTCCAAAAACACACCTCTGAGCAACTATCATTCAACCCTGGAAATTAGTAAAAAATCCCTGCAAGTAAAAATCCATTTGGAGTATATTAACTAATAGAAATAGCAGTGAAAAGATATGGCAGGATAACAATAATAACAGACATGTGTCACAAACATCATATACTTGGGCACCATAAATAAAATGCATCATGTCATTTATAATGTTGTTTTGTTCTGAAACAACAAAAGAAAAGGGTTACAATATTGGGCCACAATCTCCTACATGCATAATAAAGATTACTGAGGATTTTGCACAACAGTGAAATCCACACATGTCTCAGTAGCCAGCAATATAAGATGAAAAATTAGCTTTCTAAAAAGGAACATCAAATGATTATCATATTGTTAGAGATATAATAAACCATTTATGTCCCCCCCCCCCCCCCTCCCCAAACACACACACACACACACACACACAAAACCACCCAATAATTTAAGCTTTTGGGAGAGTTGGTTCTTGACAAGATATCGTAATTTATATGACCAAGTGATCTAGAGTTCAATCTTTACCGCCCCTATTCTTCTAATAAAAAATTAAATTTCAACATAAGGTCACAAGGTAAATTGGGTCTTTGTATTATCCACACTTCAAATCCCAAAAAGGGTTTTTGCATCTAGGGGCATGTTCAAGATATAATAAAATCATTCATGTGCCTTTCCCTAACAACTTAAACTTTTACGAATGTTTTGGTTCATGACATATGATGTTACCAAGTGAAATAGCCTAGTAAAAAACAGCCTTTAAGCTTTTTTCCTAAGCCTAATACCATTATCCTCAGGAAAGTTACAAATGCATCACATTTGAGGCAGCTCATCCACTAATAAGTTCACATCAACATCAACAACACATTCATCCCAAATTAATTAGGTTCGGTGGTCGATGTACCCAAATAAAAGGCAAGAAAAGATTGAGGAAAAAGAAGAGAAATAAAAATAAATCATAATAATAAATTAAGAAAATAAGATAAAATAAAAAATATATTTAGCTTCCTACTTCAAAAAAATTTTGCTAATTTAAGGAGTGGTGCACAATTGCACATGAGGGATCAAAATGGAGAAAGTTTTAACAGGCCGAGACAAACTCCAAGTCAGCCAAGCCAATGAATCTAAAGTACGAAACACATATAATAAGCAAAATGCAAAACCTTAAAGAAATTTCCTGCATGTTTATGCCTAGGAAAAACAATAGTCATTCAGACATAGAAGAAGAGAATCCCACAACAAAGTTTCTATTTTGCATGCCCTATATGCAGCTTCACCTCTATTTGAAATTGGTTGTTGTTCTAGAATGCATTCAATCTTACTATTTCTGTTATACCATACTTACAGCCCACTAATATTTAACTATTCCTGCAACTTACTATCCTTAAGAAAGTTGATAAATTCATCACATTTGTTGTAACTGGCAGTTATTCTTCAAATAGAATAACCAGTGAAGATCCAAAGGAGTACCCAAAAACTTCAAATCATCTGTAATCTTGAAACTTCCCCATTTTGCACTAAATGTATACAAACAATTTAACTACAGATATAAAAAGACATTCACCACAAGAATCCACCATTCCTGTTCATACCTACCAGACTCATATGGCATCCAAAAGCATAGAATTTTGAGTATAAAACCTATTTTAATAACTAGCCTAAAATTGCCTGGATATAATCTACCTACATAAATTATTTACAAGCTCAGATTTTAGATACAAGAAAATTAAAGATGAGTATAAGTTATATATTCAGACTTCAGCATATGAATTCTCTCTCAGAGCCACACTAAGGTAGACGGTTTGGTACATAGAACAAAATGGAACGCTCTGTTCAGTTCTGCCTTCCTTGGTTACACTGCTTTTAATGGAACCAAAAATGCACTACTTTTTAACCCCCATGTCCTGACATGTTCTATTTTTATAATGCACCAAACATAGAATAGAACCAGTATGTTATGCTCTGTCCCGTTTTAATATTTCTAACAAATGCTAGCTATGCACTGTCCTGAAGGCATCAAGAACCTCTGGTGTCATTACAACATATTTCACTTAGGGGCTGTTTGGTATAAAGATTGTTTTAGAAATCCTGGGAAAGTGGGGTGGGGCAAAAAATTTTCCTAACGTTTGTAATGAGGAAACTGAAAATATTCCTCGGAAACTTTTTTTCCCATCATTTTAGTTTTAACTACAGAATCTCAAACGAAAATACCATCTGATACATAGTATTTTTATTTTCCCAGGGAATTAGTATAATTAACCCAACATTCCTGGAAAAAATTTAGACCTACCAAACATCTTTTCGTAACTTACCCGGGAAAAAAAAAATCCCACATCTTGTTTTTCCAGTAAAAAAAATATCTCCTCTACCAAACGCCCCCTTATGTAAACAAACAGGTGCACCAATTAGATTTGCATATGCATATGTATGCGTGCCTGAATTGAACAGTTTCATAGTTTATCCATTCTATCTCAAGATGTCGATGGTTACAGGCTGCACTGGGGTCAGAAATCAGTATAACTTTACTTGACCATGTCTCCTGATTTTTTTGAAGCTAAGGCAAACTACTGACCCAACACCAATAGAAAAAATCATAAAAATTTTCGATAGATTCTTGCAGTCACTTAGTACTATTGAAGTATTGACTGAGCCATTTTCAGTAAATTAGAAAACAGAGAACAAACCAATTAGACCAAGTGACTAAAGATGCACCCATTTTATATTAGAACTTCTGTTAGCCCTACTTTCTATGATGCAAAAGGCACACCAATATTGCAGTGCAAAATGGTGTCTGAAGAGAAGAGAAAGAGAAACAGACAGACAGAGACGAGCAGGGATTTCAAAAACTCCACCTCTAAATGTGTTATTTTAAATTCTTCATTTTGAGGGGTGGAAAAAAAGAAAACACCCTATGAATATCCTTAAGAATTTTCAAAACTCCTAAATAAATTATCCTGAAAAAACAGTATTTTATCACAAACACAATGTATTTTAAATTCTCCTCCCTCCTCAGAATTCCTTATCCAAACAAAGCCTTACTTTCAATAGATATAAGGGATGCCAACAATTCAGGGTTTCCTTCCCCTGACAACGAAACAAGGAAGAAGAAGAAGAAGAAACGAGCCAAGACTAAAATCTAATCAAATACGCACAAAGTCAACAGAGATGAAATGGGAGGAAGCAAAATACACAAACACTCAATCACAATTCTTCTCCCCCAACTCTCCCAGCAGCTAGTTCAACCCACAAACAAAATAAATAAATAAATAAATAAAATAAAATCACACATTCACAGCGAAAACACACAAGATCGGAAGCACGTGCACAATTCCATCTCACAAGCAACATTTAAATTCGACGAGACCGCACAAAAACAACTGCACGAGCTTCCACAATTGCACACAATCGTAGATTTACTATCTTCTAAACTAAAGTTTTCTAGAGAGAGAAAGCTGAAGATAGGGTTTTCAGAGACACAAAGATAGGCAGCGGAACTCACAGTGACATTGAGAACGCTCCATTAAAGCACGAAGCTGATCCCCGAAGCGCGTTGAGGAGCCAGGCTTTTAGGGTTTGTAGCGAGGAAGGGGAATGGGGGAGGGAATGGCGCGTGTTCGAGCTCTTTCAGACAGATAAAGTGATCGAAATTTTCAACGAACAAGAGGCAGGTTCGGAGAGCGGAGCTTCCTGCTTCGGATCCGAGGCAGAGCAGTTTCTCGCAATTTGGGAAGCGTTTCAATGGGGAAGAGGGTGTTAGAAGAGTTGTTGGGGGTAAAGCAGGTAAAAAAAAAATCAAGTCACCACCCAATTAGCATGCGACAGGTGCCAACACTTGACCCACCATGACCCAATTTTATTTTTTTAAAGGGCTTAACACCTCTCCTTGAAACGTAAACGAGAAAAAAAAATTTACCGAAGAATCACAATTACTGGAAAGTAAGTTTTTTTGGAAAATTAAAAAAAAAATTATTTGATAGGCTAAAATATTATCGGAAAAATTAGTTTAAATTTTCTGAGTCTATGTTTAGTTGAAGATAAAAATATTGCTGGAAAAATGAGTTGAAATTACCAAAATAATCTTTAACTATTAAATTTTGGCACGTTATTTCAGGGATATTTGTGTCTAAATTTTTGCTCCCCAATTTTTTGTTTCCCAGCTAAATCAAAATATCACTCTCAAGGTGGTATTCTCAAGTAGTAATCTGGATAAAATTTTACACACAATGTCACATTCCTATGCAAATTAGAACCCTAGGCAGATTTTTTGAAAACTCCTACCAAATATGATCTTATTTGAATCCCATGTGAACTTTCTCAGGCAACAAAGGGTGTGCATGACAACCATTCTGTTCCCTGACATTATTTCTGAAGAGAAACAATTCTTTTCTATTTTTGTGCCTTGGAACAGTTTCTGAGAAAAAAAATGTGTTTGATAACATATTTTATTTTTATTCCGAGAATGAGAATTGCGTTTGATAAAAAAACAAATAATAGAATAAAAAATATTCCTATTAAGCATAAATTTTTTTCGGATCATCACTTTCCTTTTCATATGGTGTGGTGGTGCTGGTAGCGGCGACGGCGGTGGTAATGGTGGCGATGGTGGTGGTAGTAGTGGTGGTGGTGGTGGTGATGACATGGTAGCGGTGGTGGTAATGGTGGTGGCGACAATGATGGTGGTAATGGTGGCATGGTGGGGGTAGAGGTGGTGGTTGTGACGGTAGTGGCTGTGGCGATGGTGGTGGTGATGACAGTGATGATAGTGGTGGTGGTGGTGGGGGTGATGATGGTGATGGTGGCGGTGGCGGTGACGTAGAGGTGGTGGTGGTGACAGCAGTGGCCACAACGATGGTGGTAATAATGATGGCAGTAGTGGTTGTGATGACATGGTGGTGGCGGTAGCAATTGCGTGATAATGGTAGTGGCGCCAGTGGTGGCATAGTTGCGGCGGCGGCAGCGGTGGTGGTGGTGGTGGTGGTGATGGCCGTGGATGCGACGATGGTGATGATAATGACATGATGGTGGCGATGGCAGTGGTGTAGTGGTGATGGTGGTGATGTCAGCAATGGCTGCAACGATGGTGATGGTGATGACATACTGGCGACAGCGGCAGCGACGTAGTGGTGAAAGCCTATTTTTTTTTTAGTATTTATTAGTATTCGTAAATGTGTTCGGCGGCGGCGACGGCGATGATGGTAGTAGTGGTGGTGATGGCAATGGCAATGGCTATGTAACACCCCGTGTATACCCGGTAATGTTATCATACTATCGTATTAAGCTGCGCTTAATTAAAAATTACAGAATATCTTTTTCTTTTCCAATTATGACGTCATTATACTTAGCCAAGTTGATTACTTAATCAATTTCATAAAAACAATGCCTATGTAAATTGCAAGACAACTAACTGAAATACCTCAATATAAAATATAAAGTGAGTATCTAAGTCACGGCATTACATCACGTAATCCGGACAATATCCTAATACATTAACACAACTCCAAATAAAACAAGACGTAACAAGTCTACGTGGCATGGACAATCACCATGCTCACCAAATCAACAACATAAACGACAGAGTCTCAACAAGATAATCCAAAATCATAAAATGAAGCTAAAAGCATAAAAGCAGCAAGCATATCCAGCATCCAACATGTCAGCATATAATATCATCAATATCTAACTCAGCTCCGGCCTCCTGGCGCCTGGGGCCTCAACCCCCACATTACCTGATCCTGAAATAAGCATTCCCCAAACGTGGGGTGAGATCTCTAAACTAGAAATCTCAGTAAGACAAGGGGTCCTCAAGGATCTTCCACCCTAAGCTCACTTACATGTGCAATATAAGTTCAAAAAGCATTTATATCAATATAAGTTCCAAAACTATGCAGTGCAACAGATATTCATGACATGTGTGTTTAAATTATTCTACTGGCCAGAGAAATGCAGGAATACGTCTATACCTACATGTAGTACAAGGAACACCGCTTGCACCTCACCCACAGCCTCACCATCTTGTATGTACCACATACTCAGGCTTACCGTATAGGTGGAACACCACATGCATATCATAAAGGCACAAGCATATAACAGCTCAACAGCATTTCCAAAACATCAAAAGCATGTAACACAGCATGCATATAACCATACCTCCATGGGACATGGTGGAACCACAACATGGCTAAACCGAGGACATGAAAGCTTACCTTGCAAGCTTACTATCCAAAGCCAAGAGTCCTCACAGCTCAAGTCCAACACACAGCAGATCACAATCTGTTACGGACCAATAATACATCATTAATCAAACTCTACAAGCATACACTTAAAGACAACGTCTTTCCTTTACGTTTTACGTCTTAAGGCTTCTAACAAAGCCACAAGCCCTTCATCACATGATTCTGACTTAGTTCATTAATTATAGAAGTTCAACTTCATCACTCTAGGGTCCACAAACCCCCAATAGCCTACTGTCCTCACAGCACAGCTACTGTTCTTCGAAATCCCAGAATATCCGGATATTCTTCGGGGACATATCCGGATATCCAATATCCGGATATCCATCTGGCAATATCCGGATATCAATATCCGGATATCCAGATTCCCATATCCGGATATCAATATCCGAATACACATATCCGCATATCAATATCCGGATATTTCACGAGCAAATATCCGGATATTTCGCGACAGAATGCAGTTTCTGCATTTCGCGAAGATATCCTTCAAATGTTCCATTTTTACCGATTACAGAAGCCTAAACATGCACTTCTAGGTGTGTTTGACATTACCCAACGTTAGGTTATCATCTTTTAACCATTACATGCATCAAGGTTCCATTTTTAAGCACAAAAACTCAAGTTCAAAGATGGTGATCATACCACAAGCTAAAAACAGCAAAGGGAGATGCTCTTGGAGCTCACTTGAAGCTACCACAGTTCTGACTTCACAAGGCTACGAAAATACACTTCAAGCTTATCCCTTTATGCCAAAAGGTGGCTTCTTGGAGCTCAAGAAGCCAAGAACAAGGCCACACAACCCAAACTCAGAACAAACAACCCCAAAAACATCCCACAAACAGCAAGCATCAACTCAAAATGCTCCACCACCCCTTCACAATGCTCACAAGCTTAGTGTTTACAACTCTCAAGAAGAAGACTCTCAACAAAGATGGCTTCTTGGTCCCTTTACATGAGCAAAGACCAAGGCTTTCAAGAGAGAAGAGAAGGTTGGAGAGAAATCAGCAAAAAGACTCACGTAGAGGCTGAGTATGGCCTAGGGTTTTGTGCCCTTAGGCTTATATAGGTCCACTTAACACTAACCACATTGTATTAACTTTAAATGCTACGCTTAGCATTTTAATCCCAAACTTTGGATTCTTAACCTACTCAATTTTAAAGAATTATCATATTTTTATTATATTTTTCGGAGCACCTTTCTGGTACGCGCTTTTCATAGCCAGTATCAGTTTCTGGCACCAGCTCTTATTATTTTGACTTGAAACTCGTTTTACAAGTCCTACATATTATTCTAGTAATTATCATGCCCTTATTATAATTTTCCGAGATACTTTTTCGATACGCATTTATACCGACTAGCAGAACCGGTATCTGCACTTTTCTTCCGAAAAGCGACTTTCAGCATTCTGAATCACTTATCATAATTATTAAAGCCTCTTAATAATTATTAGGGTCAATTATGGAATCATTTCCTAATTTAACATAATTAATTACTTAATTTCCTTAATTAACGGTGCGGGTTCTTACATTCACCCCACCTTTTTAGGATTTTGTCCCCGAAATCAGAAAACATACCTGTCTCGAAACTCGGGGTACTGCCGGAGAAGCTCGTCCTCATGCTCCCAAGTACACTCCTCAGGAGTTCTTCCAGTCCATTGCACTTTGACCATCAGAATGGTCTTGCTCCTCAGCTGCTTCTTGTAACACCCAGTGTATACCCGGAATATTAACATTACATCGTATTAAGCGGTGCTTAATTAAAAATATGGAATATTCTTTTTCTTTTTAATTATGACGTCATTATCAATTACCAACTTGATTACTTAATCAATTTCATAAAATATCGCCTGTATGTAAATTGCAATAAGACATCTACTGAAATACCTCAATATATCGATAAAGTGTGTATCTAAACCACGACATTACATCAAGTAATCCGGACAATATCCTGATACATTATTACAACTCCAAAAGACTCAAGACATAACCAAGACATAATAATACTATGTGTCATGGAAAATCCCCATGCTCACCAAATAAACATAGTAAACAACAAGTCTCAACATAAAACTCCAATACATAAACTGAAGCTATAAGCATAAAAGCAGCATGCAAATCCAGCATCCAATCATGGCAGCACAATATAACAGCAATCTAACTCAGCTCCGGCCTCCTGCCGCCTGAGGTCTCAACACTACCTGACCCTGAAATAAGCATTCCCCAAACGTGGGGTGAGATCTCTAAACTAGAAATCTCAGTAAGACAAGGGGTCCTCAAGGATCTTCCACCCCAAGCTCACTTACATGTGCAATATAAGTTCAAAAAGCATTTATAT